ATTAAATTTAAAAAAAAAAGGTAATTAAAAAGTAAAAAAGAAACAAATTATTAAAAAATAAGAAAATAATTATACAAAATAAACAATAATAAGATAAAAAATTATAAAAAAGTAAATAAGATAAATACAAATCTAAAAAAAATTAAATTGATAAAAAAATAATGAAATACATAAAAATTAAAAGAATAAGAAGAAATAATTAAATAAAAAGTGATAAATAAGTTTAGAAAAATTAAGAAACAGTAAAAATAATTGACACTAACCCCGCTGCCCTGCCAACTGGCTGCCATTCTCCATTGATGGGAAGGAGGGGGGGTATTATTGCTTTGGGTTTGTTTGTTGATTCAGGACCTAACCAGCTTGCAGTCATCTAATCATCAATGAATTCTGCATCACATCAAAGTGTGCTCGATGAGAATGTGAGGCCATCTGTTTAAAAGTTAAACCAGAATGTGGTCTTTCAACATGAAAGTGATCCAAAGCACACCAGCAAATCCACCAGAAAAGAATAAATGGAGGTATATGGACTGGTCCAGGCAAAGAAAAGATTTGAGTCCCAGAGAAATGTTGTGCTGGGGATTTGAAACAGGCAGTTCATATAACGGAACCCAAAAACATTTTGCAACTGTAGGATTTTTGTATGGAGGAGTGATCAGATATTTTACAGTCATGTTACGGAGTTGATGTCAGAGACTGGTGTGTAGTTATGCCTACAAGAAGTCATTTCTGCATAAGCAGGTAATACCAGCTTCCGAGGCCAAGGGTGTACTTATCAACATGGAGGATTGGTTCAACATTTTACAGAGTTGATGTCAGAGACTGGTGGGCAGTTATGCCCACTACACTTTGTCACATGACTTTATATAATGAATAATTCCTACGTACATTTTGTCACGGGGAAATGAAAACTGAGGCACACTGGGGGATTGGAAACATGCGCCTCTTTTTCCAGTCCCTGTGTTAAAAAAGAAGGAAAATAAAGACCTGACGCCCAGTGGCACAATAGTTCCCAGGCACCACAGTAGACAGACATACGTCTCTAAAGCCTGATCCCAAATCTGTCTGCTGCTGCCCGGGCTGTATGTACTTACCAGGAGACCACCCCTTTCTCTGCCTGTCACAGTCAGAACCACCAGGTGGATCAGCAAAGGCAGCACAGTGACAGCAGATTCTCTATGGCTTGCCAGTGGTCCCTTCCCATACATACAAGCTGCAGTGTAGCCTGGTCCTAGGCTCACCTTTTGCTGCTCAGAGACAGGACCTTCATTGTGCATCCGGTCAGATCCCCCTCCTTCTAGCAGGTAGGGAGTAGCTAAGGTCTGGGCTTTGAGAAACAAATGGTGAGCATGGGACTGGCGCTCTTCACCCCTGATCTGGCACTGCTCAGAACCTCCCATTCTGTACAATGCTGGTGGCCTTGATATTCCTACATGCATTGTGCTGCTGAAGTGTAGGATGGGAGTTCTGTGCCAGATGCTGTTTAGTTGATTGAACAAAGGTGTGCTGACAGCCCTGCGATCATGTTAGCACACCTCCATGTAGGCGGCTTGCAGAAAGCAACACAGTTTCACTGCTTCAGCAGCTTAAAAGTAGAACTATGAGGTGGGTGCTTTTCACTCACCTCATAGTTCTAGCCGACCTGTGACAATGAGACTGTCACAGATCGGCTCAGCAGATCGGGAGGTGAGGGAACACATACCGGGTTCGCTCGCCTCTCGATCCTGTCACGGCTCTCTGCCGTGATAGGGGGAGGGGCTGGATTCCCCTCTCCCCGCTCCGATCTGCCAGCGCAGCATCAGGCACTCAATTCTACCCACCCCTCCATCAAAGCGCCTCCCACCTACTTCACCCCTCTGGTCAAAGCGCTCGTCACCCACCTCACCCACTCAGCCCACCACAGCGCCTCTCCCTCCCTACATCTTGTCCCACTCCCCCAACACAGTGCCTGCCATATAAATACCCCCTCTAGTACCTACCACCCAGGTCCTCCCACTCCCTTCACCCTCACCCCTTGATCAAAGTGCCTTTTACCCCTTGGTGAAATTAACCACTCAATTCACACTCAGCCCTTAGTTAAACTGCCATTGACCCACCTCACCCCCCTTTCCTGCCACATCACCTCCCATCCAATTCACCCCTCCACCACCATAGTGCTTACCACCTATCTTAGTGTCCCTCCACCACCCACCTCACCATTCCCTGTTCACAGCGTCTCCCACCCACTTCACTCCCCCAGATATTTAAAGGATTTTTTCATTTTTATTGTTTCACTTTAAGTGATGTTAAAATCAATACTCCTTTAAAAACGGTATTACAAAAAACAAACATTTTCATTGATTCCTGTCCCCCAGGGCAGTACCCGGATCCCCCATACACTTTTTATGGCCAATAACTTGCATATACGGCTTCAAAATGGGGACATTTGATTTTCAAAGTTCTACCCCCATAGACTTGCATTGAGTTCGAGTTCGAATTCAAACTTTCCCCATGTTCTAATTCGAACCGAACTCAGGGGGTATTTGGCTCATCACTACCTAACACCCCCCATAGTCACTGTGCATCCCACCCTCTTCACTTGTCCTGGTCTTAGCACCTCTCTGCTATCCACCTACCATCTTCATTACACTGCCTCCCTGCAATTCTTCCTCACTCCCTGGTCCGAAGGGCTCCGGACCGCTCCCCGTCCATGTAACTGTACCTTCCTATCATTCACCCCCTCAGGTCAAACACTCACACTTATACTACCCCACCCCACTCACAGTACCTCTATACCAACCCACTCTACTGTCATCACCACCTCCTCCGCTTCTTCAATGCAAACAGCATCTCTGCTCCATAAGTATCCCCTCTGCAGCCTCCGTCCACCATCGTCCACACACTTCACTCTGCTTTTCTCCTAA